ACAGATGGCCAAGCTTACTTTGAAGCTTAGCTGAATTTGTCAACAAACAGCATATTTTATAACTTGGGATCCATGTCTTTCTAGAAAAAGAACTCTGGATTAGACTAAATTAGGTTTAAATTAAATCTGACACCAATATTCTGGTAGAGCCGGGTAGAGGACAGTCAGGGATCCAACTTTATTTTGTTTTGAAAATCCCTCACACAGCTGTTTGGTGGAGAACAGCTGCCTTCTTCAATGTGTTTCCACTGCATTGGACATATTGATGTTATTCTGTCTCTAATGGTGAACATAGATCAGAGTTGCTCACAATAGCAGAAATACTGCTTTTCTTAAAACAGGTAAATTTATTGAAAAATGTTTTTCTTTTACAGAGAAAAAGCATAAAATAATCAGGCAGAAGGACTCCGTCACTCTGCCATGTCCTCACCCTGTGGAGGGTAAAGTGACGTGGAGCAGAGAGAAAAACGGAAACAGAGTTGACATACTTACAGTTGATGGAGACAGAGACATAAGACACATTCATGACCCACTGAAACGATACAGTTCATCAGCAGATAAGTCACTTCACATCAGCAGAGCTGCCGTCTCAGACGCTGGAACATACTTCTGTAATAATGAAGCAGCTGTGGAGCTGACGGTGCTCCAAGGTAACATGTTCTGTTTTCACTATGAATAAATAAGTTTCAGTTTATCCTTTTATTTTTAATTTTGTTAGTTTAGTTAATTACGTGTAGTAAGTTGGGGAGTGGTTTTAGTTTTGAGTCTCAACCAAAATGGACGTGGTGTAGTTCGTTTTTCAATCACGTGAATCATTTTGTGACGTATTAAAGATGTTGTAATATCTATTTCTGTAAGGAGAGCTGAAGAGAGAAGGAAACTTTTTTTAAACTCTACTTACAACTAAAAATAAAGCCGTAGAACAGAGCCTTTCTCAACAGTATGTTGTTGTGATGATTCAGAACGTGCAGGTTCTGACCCAAAAACACAACCCAGAGCAAAGAAAATATAAAACTTCAGCTTTACTCTTTGGCACAAAACACACACGTCAGTGTAAAAACGTTTCTTTGTTAAGTGTTCACACCCCTGAACTCTCAGCCGTGGCCTTGGTGTTTAAGATTTTAATGAAAACAAGTGACATAAATTGACGTTACTTATTAACTGTGTTCCCGTCAAGCTCCATCGATTGGTAATCTGTAAAAATCAGCTAATGCAGAACAGGTTTAACTTTGATACTACAGGCGTATATCACATTCCCTTTCAGCTCATGGTTTACCATTTACAATATGTAGTAGAGTAAAAGTATGAACTTTACTACTGTGCTGTAGAATGTGGAAAGCAAACCTCAGGAACACATTTTTTCAGATCGACAGACGAACAAAATGCTGAATTAGAGAGTGCACTGAGTTACAGAGGCTGGACATGTCGTGGCATCAGCTCTATATTGTTTCCTCCGTCCTTCACTAAAGATCATAAGGAACTAACAACAACAACAACAGATCCTCCACCTCCAGCAACGACTTCGTCACCACCACCACCAGAGACCTCAACAACTCCTCCACCTCCAGCAACGACTTCGTCACCACCACCACCAGAGACCTCAACAACTCCTCCACCTCCAGCAACGACTTCGTCACCACCACCACCAGAGACCTCAACAACTCCTCCACCTCCAACAACGACTTCGTCACCACCACCACCAGAGACCTCAACAACTCCTCCACCTCCAACAACGACTTCGTCACCACCACCACCAGAGACCTCAACAACTCCTCCACCTCCAGCAACAACTGCACCATCCACACCTCTAGTAAACACAGGTATGACGACATTGGTTTTAAAAAGCATGAAAAGAAAAAGTGTCTCTCTCTACAATATTCTGTTATATATGCATTGATTCACAATTCAGCAAATGATGTTTCCAATATGTTTGATCATTACAGCAACATCTACAGTTTCCACCTCTCAGTCAATGAGTGATCATATTCAATGAAGTTAGTCTCTGAATTTAACTTTGTGTAGCTTCAAAGTCACTTAATGAGCAACAGATTGAGAGTCTTTCTGAAGATTGTTTGGTTCAACATTTGACTTCTCTGACTGAAACGTTCTGAACACAGTCACTATTTCTACATTTCTTACACTTTAGATTACGTTTTATCTGTAAGCGTCCCCATGCTTTGAAGTAGGGCCTGCTATTATAAAAAATAATCTGAGGCAATAAAGTTAAAATATTTAGAGAAAAAAAGTTGTAATATTTGAACCAACACATTCTCCCTCCCGACTCATCACATATTGACGCTTGGTCAAGGCCTTTGGGCGTCTCCTTTTATCGACCTGGGTAGGCCTAACTACACGAACCTCGGCCTTTTGGTTCAAAGTCCGGGTTCTGGCCCCCCAACCAGCTCTTTACTCACTCTTTTCTGTTAAATATCATATGCCTACCTTTACCGTCAAAAAACGACGCTACAGGACTTCCCTCAATGCGTCGAACTATGACGCTAAAGGGATCGCCAGTGCTTCACAAACACACGACTCTTGACCATGCGTCCATATGTGACGACTTGGGAGTGAGAACGGGTTGTTTGAACACATTATGAGTGTAAACACGTGACAGCAGTGAGGGATGTGGATGATTTTAGGATATTGCAGTGAAACCAGTCACATCATGTATGAAACAGCACTATTTGCTTACCTGGAGACAGCGGCGCTAAACTACACAGTCATGGTGTCAGAGAGTGATTAAAGGCCAGTGGGCATGATGACTGAAGCATAAAGCAGCATAAAATATAAATTGCCAAGTGATTATGAATTGTACTTTTACAGTACTGAAGTAAACGGTCTTCTCCAAAGGTTGCTGCTACCCTGGACTGCTGTATACCTGACATGCATTATGTCTGTATGTACTGTTTCATTTTGTAAGTAGTTTTTACTTTGTCTTCCATCTGCTCCTGAAGAACGGCGACTAATTCATGGTGTGTTGTTTGGAATAGGTATCGTCCTCCTCGTGCTCCTCCTCCTCCTCATCGTCTTGTTCACTAGGAGATACAGGTCCAAGAGACGAGGTAAATAAAAACAGACCTGGACTTTTATCTTAAAATGCAGCAGGGCATGTTTTTGGTTGAAAACTGTTAAACTGTCTTTGCAGCATGATAAAAAATTCATAAAAAGGGAATAAAATAAATTTTGGGATCACAAAACTTGGGAAAAAAATGTATAATGGAGTTTTATGGGTCAAACACTTTTTGTGGATCTATCTTGCAGTAGTGACAGTAGCTGCTTGGACAAACCGGAAGCAACGCTGAGTGGTGGCACCATATCTAGCTCTTTGAATACAGCCATGTTTTCACAGATCCCTTTTGCTATGAAGCAAGGCACTCCAGGCGGGGTGAGGTGTGGCGGTCCGACGCAGTGTCTCGTTCCCCTTCTCGGTGAACAACTGTTACATACGAAACCCGAGACGTTCCCCTTCGAAGGAACTCAAACTGCGTCAGTGACGACACTATGGGAACGAGATACCCACTTAGGCCGCGCCGAAACCCCGCCTGCCCCCCCAGCATGCAGCAACCTGTAGGCACGACTAGGCACGGGTGCCGGGTGCAGAAGGAAGGTCCAGACTCTATAACCGGATGAAAGTGTGAGGAGTGGCCCAGCCAGCTGCCTCACACAAATCCTGGAGCGAAGCCCCTACGAGGAGGGCCCTAGAGGCCGCCATGCCTCGAGTAGAGTGCGCCCTTACGGCCATAGGTGAAGGTAACTCGTGCACCTGATAGGCCAGGGAAATAGTCTGAACAATTCAGTTGCTGATCGTGTGTTTGGAAGCGGAGAGCCCAGCCTTGGGGGACCCGAAACACACCAGCAACTGGTCTGCTTTCCTCCACCGGGAGGACCTCAGAGTGTAAATACTCTGACCGGGCAGAGCAGATGAAGTCTCCAGTCCTCCGCCGTCACATGAGGTGGTAGATGAAACGCCTGCAGCACCGTAGGCCCTGCCAACCTGGACGGAACCTTAGGGACATAGCCCGGACAGGGGTGCAGGATGGCTCTGAACCTCCCCGGGGCAAACTCCAGGCATTGAGGAAAAACCGAAAGTGCCTGGAGATGCCCCACCCTCCTCAGAGAGGTGATAGCGAGGAGAAAGGCCATCTTAAGGGTCAGGTGCTTGGCCTCAGCCGACTCCAGGGTTTCGAAGGGGGCCTCAGCCAGCGCTTCGAGAACCACCGCCACGTCCCAAGTGGGAACCCTGGAACAAGTCACGGGTCTCATCCTCCGGGCTCCACGGAGGAAGCGCACGACCAGTGGAAGCCTCCCCAGAGGCCCATCCCTCAGAGGGGTGTGGAACGCCTAGATGGGGAAAGGCCAGCAGAGAATAGGGCCGAACCTTTCGCACAATAGCTCCACCACCTCGGGGTGGAGTCTCCATTCCCCGGGCCTCAGCCCCTGTCTCGACAGCAGGTCTGCTCCCTGATTCTGGGTCCCAGGGACGTACATCGCTCTGAGGGACAGCAGTCTCTGCTGGGACCACAGGAGGATCTGATGTGCCAGTTTGCATAATGGGCGCGAGTGCAGACCCCCCCGGTGATTCAAATAGGCCACCACTGCCGTGTTGTCGGTCCTGAGAAGGACGTGGCGACTGCGGAGAGCGGGCAGAAAACTCCTCAGAGCTCTGAACCCCGCCAACATTTCCAGGCAATTTATGTTCAAAGAGAAATGATGCTCCTGCCAGGAGCCTCTCGCAAAGCGGCCGCCCATGACCGCGCCCCACCCCGTGAGTGAGGCGTCTGTCGAAATAATTTCCCGGTGACATGGCGCTCCCAACACGGGACCCTGGGACAGGAACCAAGGTTTCCTCCATACTGACAGCGAACGAAGGCACCTGCTCGTAACCCGTATCAGACGGAACGGATTTCCCCTCGGGGAGAATCCCTTGGATTTCAACCACCACGTCAGGGCTCTCATGTGCAGCAGGGATTACGCTTGACGCTGCTGTCCTGAGACCCAACACTCTCTGAAAGTGTTTCACAGTGATGGAGCGGCCTCGCTTGGATAACTGCGCCCATTGCCTGAGCTGCCATGAGGGAGGGAACCTCGGTCGCCCTCTCTCGGGGGGGGGGCCCCGGTATAAACACGAGCAAGGGATGATCATGACCGGGCGAGAGATAGCTAGCCAAAGCATCCTCAACCCGGGGCATCATCCCATAGCCGAAGCCCTTGACCCCCGCTACGTCGCTGTAGACCCGGAGCGGGGGAGTAGTCAGACGTGCTGAGAAGGGTTTGCCCCAGGACTTGCACAACTCGTCATGCAAGTCCGGAAAAAAACGGCGCTGCAGAAAGCGCTCATCCAGCTTACTCATGGCATGTGTCTCTGGTACATCCTGCGGCCAATCGAGCTGGAGCTTGCTCACTGCCCGTGTCACCACCTACAGGAGTTCGTCATAGCTGGGCGCCGACTGATGACGTTGCTCCGCTTTTATCTCCCGGAAGTCTTCCTCCTCCATGATGCTAAGCACATCCAGTCATCATGGCTCTGTCCACTAACTATGTTAGTAGGGATTTTATTTATAATTTATAGAGACTTTTCATTATTAGGATTCAAAAAACACCTCATAATAACTCACAAATAGAAGATGATTCAAATATTCAAATATTTCGTACACTTGTGTCATTTATTGTTTTTCTCTGTAGCCAACAGCACAATCTCCCACTATTTGTTCTGGTTAATAAATGCGTTTTGGCAATGTTTTAAAATTTAGATGGCTCGAGTCAAAATAGCTCCTTTTATGCCAACTTAATCCACAACCCCCCACAGACGGGAAACAGTACAGGTAAAGCCTGACCGCTCATCAACACACATTTTAACCAAATATTCTAGATGCTTGTTACTGTTTATATTAATTACATATTATATCTTCTGACAGACACAACTCTAGCGAATGAGGAGCCATATTCTTTGATTTTGGGAAACTAAAGCCTGATGGAAATGAAAAAGGTGACTTTAATCATTATATATCTTTAACACTGGGTGGGAGGAATTTAATGTGTTAAATTAAATAAAGTACGATTTCCTAATTGAGCTTAAAAAGGAGAGCAAATGGCACATCAACAAAAACTAACTTTAAAAGTTTAGATAACTGGAACAAAACTGAATTCTGTTTTCTCATCAACAGGTACATCACAGCTGCTTTGGAATGAAATAATCTGAGAGCACAAAGTTTCCGTTTAGAGAATAAAAAAAAGTTGAAATATAGGAATCCATTGTTGCAACTTCTGGGAAGTAAGAAGACGTCACTCTGTCTCTCCTGTTTAACTGAATCTCTCAGAGCTTGTGGGTTTGTAGGAACAGCAGGTTTATCCCACTTCTGCATTAATCCTGCGTTGCTTTTTGGATTACAGTATGTACTTTTCTTAGGACAATACACTGACACACCGACACATTGATCATATAGTGGATTTAAGTTCATTAAAACTAAATAAATGAAACAACATAATTTGTCCCTCTTAAAAAAGAAAGTAACCAAATGTATTTACCTTGTTTTTAAAATACACTTTTCCATTTATGTTACACAGTTATGCAAAAACAATTATGTAACTTTATTACAATATAAGATACATGAGGCGAATGAACAATAGAAGATAACTCGTCTTCATGTTTAAATATTACCACACTCTTTAGAACAACGCACCTGCATTTCTGACAAAGGACAATAGTGTAGAATCAAAACAGCGCGACAAGCAGCGCATGCTCTGTCAGGAAAGGTGGCATCATGTTAAAGTTAGCAGAATGAACAAAATGAACTTCATAAAAACACAGCAAATTTATTTTGTCTGAGAAAGTGGAGAGGAAACCTCAGGAACAGGTTTTTCAGCTCGACAGATGAATGAAATTGAGTTACAGTGACTTCAACACCACCTTCTTCCCAAGTAAAACAAACCATGTCTGTTCCTCTTCCAGCTGATCCTTACATGTGGGAAACAGCTGTTCATATTGTGGTTGGAATACTCTGTTTAATCATCATACTCAGCATCACTGTCACTTCCTGGAGAAAAGTTGAATATAGTTTGACCTGCAGGTGGTTTTGTGTGTCTGAAAATACTCTGTATCATAATCAGTAATGTTTTGAAACTCAAAGAAGATTTCAATATTTGGAAAATAAGTCAAGAAATAATTTGATTTTCAACAACTAGCACGCCCTCACAGTGTTTATACTTCGGCTTTGTACAAAGGTGAATTGTGCAAAATGTAACTGAGTCACACTAGTGAGCATTTTGGGCATTTCAACTTATCATGTGCTGTAGCGCCATCTACAGGTCAAATTGATCAATTGATCAGCGCAGATCACATCTCGTCCATCATCTCCATGTTTATCTTCTCTCTCTTGCAGCTCGACAGACACAGAGGCAACACAGCAGCAACAGAAAATGATCCTCCATCACACAGAAACGAGAGCAGTAACTGAGCCGTGTTCAGCGTTCATCCTCAGACAGCTTTCAACACTGTGACGACTAGTTTCCCTTTTTCAGAAAAGTTGGGATACTTTCCAAAATGCAATAAAAACAAAGATCTGGGGTTTGTAAATTCACATGAACCTTTAGTTTCAATAGTTTTACTGACCAGGGTAATTGTAATAGTATTTTGTAAAAATAAGTTAGTTGGGACAGAGGCATTGTGTTACATCACCTTTCCTTTTAATTCCACCTTTTCATACCATCACAGATACTGCTTTTGCAACTTTTACTGAGAACAATCTGGATGGTCACTGTCTTTTGTTCCATCTGAGATGAACTCAGGCCCAGAAAAGTCGCCAGCGTCTCTGCCTACCACTGATGTGTGGATTCCTCCTTGTATTATTCAGGTTGCATTTCTGGATGTTCACCAATATTGGCACAAAGGAGCGAGCCCCGACCCTGCAGACTACATGACTTTCAATGTCGGCAGATCGCTGGGCTGTTCAGACTACACAACTTGCCAGCTTGTGTCGGGAGTCTCGCCGTCGTTCCCACTCCGTGACTTATCGGTGACAGGAGGTCACACAGTACGCTATTAGACAACAACTCTGTCACCCGAGGGCTGGTCTCATAACCACGTTTGTCAAGAAAACACACGTGAAACGTGGCAGGCGAAATGACGTGAAACTACACACAAAACATCTGTTGTTTGTTCTTATAAAGACAAAGAATCTGGGTGAAAGAACGGTTTAGCACACGCAGGTAGCAGGGATTGTCTGAGCT